AGTGCAGGTGACATTTGACACATTTTCTAGCTACTCGGATATACATACATACATACATATTTTGTTGTATTTTTACTAGCAGAGTGTGGGCGCTGGCAACTCATTGATGGGCGGCTGCCATTCATAGACACGAAAATGAATTATAATTAAGAGTTTGTTGCAGAACGCCATATGGCGACTGAATCCAGAGTCGATCATGTGAGCGGAATTCGCAATGCGCCAGCTTGGCTGGGAGACCGTTACAAAAATCGAAAAAGAATTCCACAAAAAACTCATTTGGAAGCAAAATATATTTTTTGTTGAAAAATTAGCATAGTCTTTCCAAATGAGCGCCAGAGACACTTGATAAGGCAATCTAGGGCTTTTGAGGCCAAGTCATTAAAAGAAAATATTTTAAGATAGAGTCTTTAACATTCTACCCAACTACACTACTGATATTTCGCTCTAATATTCAGCAATCCACCTTTGAAAAGTGAAACTTTCCAGTCACTGTTTTGAAGGGAATTCGAAAACATCAAGCAGATGTTTCAAAAAACTCTCATCAAATTAGTAGAATCGCCAGAAAAAAAACACAAAAACCGATCATTTATCTAAAAATAAATCTTGAAAATTTGTTTCGTGGTGAGATGTTGGAGATTTTTTGTTGCTACACGCCCAGACTCAGTCTATACATGTATAGTATATATAGACCTGCATATACAGATCTTTTCTACACTGCACAAAAAAAAGGTCCAAAACAGCTGAGACAGCAGAGTGTGTGTGTGTGTGTGTTGGTGTGCTGGTGTGTTTGTCGCAGAAGGTTAAAGCTGATTCTATATATATTTTCGTGTATTTGGAGTCACTTTATTGATCTTGTCACATATTTGCATGTTTACTGAATTCATCACTTGAGCTTCACTCTAAAAAAATTCCTTTAATTAAGCTTAGAAAACCGCCGCGTTAAATTTTGTATTTCAGTTTTTAGAATTTACTTTATTTTTACTCTATTATTTGGTCAGAGCGCCTGGCAAACGCAGCGAATTTCGAGCACCGACTAGCGAGAGCCGAAGCATCCATTAGATTCATCTTAGGGTAGACGGTGCAGATACAAAGATACATAGATACATAGGTGAACACCGCTCACGGATCGCCTACTCAGTGGAAACGAGACGCCGCGATGGGGAGCGACAGAGACACAATCTCAAAGCTTTTTCAAATCGAAAATGATAGCAAAGTTTCACAGAAAAAAAATACAATTTTTACAATATTGTATTTTTATAGTCGAGTCGTGCAAATACTGATATGCAGGTGCTAAGCGAAAGTGAAGCCAAACAAACAAGTCTTTACTTATTGAAACAATTATAAAAGCAATTAAGTAATGAAACTAGCATTAACGCTACACATTTAAATAGTTCAAGAATTTAGAAGAAGTTATGGAGCTTAATTTAATTGCATTTCAAAAAAATTTTTTCGAAATACTTTTTCAGGTTTTTCAAAAACAGTTTCCCTACCACCCACTGGTAAAAATAATGGGGAAACCTGTCTATCGATCACTTCCCATCTAATTAGTTTTGATCAAAATTTTTTCATGTGTCTTTCGAGGCAAAGAGGAAGGCTATCGGAAATTAGTGTGTGGGCTTCAAATCTTGAGGTGAATTTTGTGTAGGAAGGCACAACATTTCAAATGTGATTTCCGTTAGCAAAAGTTTGGACCATTTGGTGTGTCATCGGAATCGTTTCAGTATCTTTATTTATCTCGTCTACATATACACAGAATTTTAGATAAAATGAGAAAACAGAGATATGATCATCTGTCCTGGTGCCAGGAATTTGCAATCGTCAACTTAAAAGCAACACAATCATTAGACGGATTGCCGGCAGTCTGCAATTCGAGGCAAAAGCTATTTCGAGTTAAAATAAACACTAGGGCACTTTGCTTTCCACTCCACAATAAAATAACAACGGAATTAGTGTCGGCTCGCCGTAATACTACAAATTACCAAATCAATTTGCATACACGCGATGGGCCTGTTTATTGTTATTCGAGCGATCGCGGTTTCTGCTGCCGATTTAAATTTTTCGATCGCGCGCGCTCCGCACTCACAGCTGCCAGTCTCGCTGCAGCGTTCAAATGAGAATGAGCCTTCCTTCATGCAAGGCCCGGAGATACCTTTCGCGCCCCCAGTGCTGCCAGACCGCTGGCTGGATTCAAAATAGCGCGGGCAAGCAGTAGCAACGAACTTTGGCCAAAAATTATTACTTTTGAAATTTTGCCTAGCATTTAAAGTCATTAATAAAAGTCATATTATTAGATTGAGATATTTAAGCCATTGAATGATACAAGAGCTTGCTTTGACTATTTTTGAAGCTTAATATAAATTTTATATTTTATATTATAAAATTATACCCTATGTTGAAATTTTTGTAAGAGTAAGGTCTTTTCATTTATAATTGTTATTTAAAACAAAAAAACCTATATCAGAGTTCTCAATAAAAAAAAATTATATGCCTGAGCGTTTCAAAACGAAAACCAGAGTTTTTAAATCCCTTTCTGCAGTTACGAAATCGTCCAAAATGTAGCCCTTCATAAACATATTGTGTTCCTAAGCCTAAGATGTTTTAAAAGCCTGCGAAAATCTTAATTAGGAGTTTTAAACAAATTAATTAATATTTGAAATTAGGTTCAAACAAATTGTAAATATTAAATTTTAATTCATAGAAATGTTGCCATAATATTGGAAATTTACTACCAAATATCGATATATTTACCCATAAGATATACAACCCACCATTTCCCAAAGGCGGCTAAACACAAGTTGGCAGCCCAAATTTTCTGATAAGCTAAGCATCCAATTGGAAAAAGTTCATATCGATCATTTCTCGTTATAAAATCTTATGAGAAGAAACCGATGTATATATAAAATATCATGAAAATACGGGTCACTATTTACTATTTTTAAGGTCATTATTAAGGGCTAATGCCGGAAAATAAGAAACATTTTCTTGGCGCCTTGGCAAAATTGCTCTTGGCATGTGTATAAACAATTGGGCATGTAACACCAAACATGTAAACTGCCCAACATGTAAAAAAACACACTGCCCTGTATGAATATGAAGTTCTAAAATCAAACTGTTGTGAGTAAAATTGTTGAGGCACTAAAAATTATTTAAAGAATTGGGCACCTAAAACCCAATATGTAAAAGTTGGGAAATAGTGTGTCGTAAAATACCAAAAACATACCATGTGTTTAACGGCAAAAATACATACCACGATAGAAATATATCAATTGTGGTGCAAAAGAATATCGATATGTTGGTTTTTTGATTTTTATCATCCCTACTTCAGATTACGCGACCGAAAAGGGGTCTGCGTAAATTTCTTGCTTTGCTGATAGGAGACCGACAATACGATGCACAAGGTGATCCGGCAGATGTCCCAGCTGCGCGTGCAGCCCCAGCTTCCGGGTGCAGCGCTCCTTAAGCCAGCAAACACGTCCAGTCCCCATCTGAGCCAATCGCCACCTGCGCTCCCAAAAAGTATCCACACGGCAGCCGGAGCTGCGGGCGGAACTCTCTGCACCAAGTGGAACAAGCACAACTACGGACCCAGGAAGTGGCTGGAGTACAACAAGACGGTCCACCCGCCGCAGGAACCGGAGGAGGAGCCCCGCAAAGCCGTAAGGAATAACCAAAACAAACAAAATCACCTGGCAGGGCAGTCAACTATTCAGATGTATATTTCTTGTATAGGAGCATATATGCTTTATTTGTCTGGACACCCATTTAGATAGAAACTCAAGACATTGATACTCAAAGCCCACACAACATTGTACGTGTGCGAAAAAGATAAATTTGTTAATATTTGAATAGAAATCTTATCTACCTTTTGATGCTATCGCTCTATGATTGATGTTTGAAAGCCTGGCCACTATTTAAGAAACGTATCCTAAAAACCTTCAACCCTTTTCAGTACGTTTGCCACATGCGCACCAACATCAAATACAGTCCGGACAAGATGTGGTACATCGCAGCCTTCGTTCGTGGCATGTCCGTCGATGAGGCGTTGAAGCAGCTCAACTTTGTCCTCAAGAAGGGAGCCACCGATGTGCGGGAGACCATTCTAGAGGCCCAGGAGATGGCCGTCCAAAGGCATAATGTGGAATACAAAAGCAATCTGTGGATAGGTAAGCAATGTCGCCAATTTCCGAGGTTATTTTTGGGGTTGTTATTTTCACCCAACAATGGAATAACTCGCCCCGATTATAAAAGAAAAATCGTATAATCTTTCCCACAGAATAAATAGAACCCAAATAATATATATTTTATCTATTTTAGCTGAATCCTTTGTTGGCAAGGGACGTGTATTCAAGGGAATGCGTCGGCATGCCCGCGGTCGTTTTGGCACTGTGGAGTACAAGCACTGTCACTACTTTGTCCGCCTGGAGGAGGGCAATCCACCGGAGCACTACTACCAGGAGCCACAGACGCCTGAGCAACAGTACGAGCACTGGCTGGAACAGATGCGCAGCCGGAAGATCATCAACTCGCTGTAGTCCAATCCCGTTGCTTCCACTTATCCACCTGTTCCTGCTCCTCTTCCAATTCGTCCCTCATCAAGCATTTTTTTTGTTTCTAGATTGTTTAATTAAAAAAAAGAAAAGAGTAGATAGGCATCGAACTGTATGTTGTTATTGAAGAGTAAGGGCGGCATGTGGAGTACCTTTTAACGACCCTTAAAAATTGGCTTATTATGGATAATAAGGAAAATAAACTACATTGTAAGAGAGACAATATTTTATTAAGAGATGTGAGGGCAAGAAGTTGTTTCATCTGTCAGAAGACTAATTATAGGAGCAGTAAACCCTTAATGACTACAATTTTCATATCATATGTCTTTATAAATCAACTTATTGATTTTAAAAGTTTCTTTGGGTTCTTTGGATACTTTTAAGAAGTAATAAGGAAATCATTCGCGTTCGAAATTAAGAATATTTTTGAAGGAATCTCAATCTTGATTAGTATTTAAGTGGCTAAACCGGCAGTTTTTCTATAAGGTCTCAGTTGCATTCAGTGCCATTAACCTTTTCCTGGGCTCCTATTTACAGGTCAACAATGTCCAATTCCTGGGGGCCTTTCTCTAGTTCCTGGGTTACTTTTTCGAGTGCCAAAGGCTGACGCTCTCTTACAGCTAAATCCTCTTCCTTGCCCAGCTGCAGGCAGGCTAGTTTTGAGAGTCTGGAATGTTTAGGACGACCTGCGTCACGCCTGCGTTTGCGAGGATTTGACTTCTTTCCAGGACTTTCCTCTTTTTTGTGTGCAACTGTTTCTTTGTTGGTCTGCCCATCCTGGTGATCGCGTAAAACATGCTTCGATAGGTTCTGGGCACTGCTGAAGCAGCGACCACAGTCCAGAGCCTGACACTCGAAACGCCGACCTGAATGAGCAGTCAGCATGTGCTGGCGGAGATTCCTTTCGTAGGAGTAGCTTTTCGAGCACCCCTCCTCCGGACAGGTGAACTCGGAGCCCTCCGCTGTCTTATGTTTGGCTTCGATGTGTTGCTTGAGATCACTGGGCTTGTCATAGCATCTGTCGCACTGGTCGCACTTATACCGGTTCTTGCCATGCAACGTGTCCCTGCAATGCTTGGTATACAGAGTCCACTTGTCGAACTTAAGTGGACACGCAGGACACGCATAGAGCTTGCAAGTGCCCTGATGACTCTCTCGCTGCCACTCCTGGTAGAATCCACGGGTGCACTTCTGGCAGCGAAACGGATAGTCCTGGGTGTGCTCCTTGATTTCGTGACGTTTAAGTTTTAGTTTCTGTGAAAACTTCGCCGGGCAGTGCTCGCAGGGATAGACCCTGGGTTTTTCGTGGGCCTCGCGCACATGCCGCTGCATATTGCAGGACGAAGTAAACATTTTGGAGCACTCCGGGAGCGAGCACTTGACTGTTTTCTGGGCCGCCTCTGGACGCTCGTGGGTGCTTCGCAAATGCCGCTTCAAATGGGTGAGTATGGAATAGGTTTTATCGCAGCCCTCGTGGGAGCAGGCGTGCTTCTTCTGCAATAATTGTTTTATTTAGTGTCTGTTAATTAAAGGCAGATTTTATACAAACAATTCCCGTATGGTGGTATTCATGGCGATCCAGTTGATCCAGGCGCTTGAACGTGGCCTCGCATTTTTCAATACTGCAAGTGTATTTCGCAGGTCCGGCGCTGTTCCTACGCTCCTTGCGAAGATTGAACTCCTCCAAGACATTGTCCAGATCGCTGTCACTAGTTATTTGCATCTCCGGCGGCATGATTTATTTGCTTTATTTTTTTTTTTTTTTCAATTGTCAAACCAATGTTTGAACATGTGACGGTGTTGGGTTACGCATAAATATGGTTGGGTTGCTGTGTTGAAAAATGCTAGTTTAGTCATATGGTCCCACTAAATTTTTGTAATAGCAGGATAACGTTTATTTAAAACTGTCCTTTAGGGACAACCATTAAAAGTTATCACATAAACTTCACTTATGGATAATTTTACATATTAATATGGTAGAAATAAATTAGAGTAGTAAGGGGAGGTCCAGCGTGTGTGTCCTTTTTAGTCTTCTGGGCTGCTCGCTGTTGTCCAGCAGGGAGCTGGCCAACAGGTTGGGGTGATTATGAAGCCTCTGCATGTAACGTGCGCTGCTTCTTTCTTAATATGGTCCCACTAAATGATTAGTCCCACTTTCAATGAATTATCCTTGCAGTTGTTCCTTATGATTATATCATAATAAAACTATTTATTACACTACAATATTTTTACCAAATACCGTTTCCGTTCGTTCAGTTATATAACAGCTGTAGGCTATGATCGACCGATTATTATGAAATTTGGTAGGTTGGATCAATTGGCAAAAAAAATGATTTGTATAGTTCTAACCTAACCTAACCTAACCTAAGTTCTAACCTTCTATCGTCAAAAACACGGAAGTTGGGTCATTTCCGATTGTTCAGTTTTGTGGCAGCTATTGGATATAGTTGGCCGATCCTTATTAAATTTGGTAGGCCGTATTATTTGGCCAAAAATAGCACTCATGTAAAATCCGAACGCTCTAACTCTAAAATCTCGAAATTCTAAAAATACCAAAGTTATACCATTTCCGATCTATCAGTTATAGGGCAGCTATAGGATATAGTGCAAAGGAAAGAAGGTTGAGTGCAAAGTTTCAAGTCGGTAGATTTAAAACTGAGAGACTAGTACGCGTAGAAAGAAACAGACAGAAAGACGGACAGGCGGACATGCTTATATCAACTCATGAGGTGATCCTGATCAAGAATATACTGTAACATGCACATGTCACTGTACCAAATAAAGTAATAGGCTGTAATATGCACGTATCACTGTACCAATTAAAGTAATAGAAAAAAACTAATACATTAAATACTATTGTGTATACACACAAGCTCAAAGGCCCCACACATTCCTTAAGTGGTTGAAATACGAACCACCCAAGCATTCCTGGGCTAAAACGCAAGCGTAAGCGGTTCTCGAGCATTGACGGCTCGCATACATGTGTATGTATATGTGCATAAAATACTCCGTCAGCGCCAACGTGTATAAGTCCTTATATAAGTCCTTAGATCAGAATCAGAATCAGAGAATAAAGAGCAGTGGAAGCGCACACTTGTGCGCTCAACATTAAAACGCAAAGATTCATATTATTACACATATGTACATATGTATATACATTATAAACATGACGTTATAAGGACCTAAGACAATCAGGACTACAAGGATTTACATGACGAAGGATACGAAGGACACACCGTGGACGACATAGCCCAGGAACACCATTTAAAAAAAACTGAAAAACCGGAAAAACTGAAAAAAAAAAATTTGGAATTTTGTTTTTAGAATTGTGGACGAAGAAAAGAATCTGAGTGAGTAGAGTGCAGTGATGGGTAGACGCGGAGGTATAAAAAACAAAATTAAAAAGAGAGTAGCACACCTCAAATGGTTGCTGTATACAAGTACATCGCCTCTAGCGTTGTCAACAAGGCAAAAGTTGCAAGCTGAAGTTGACTTTCTAAAAACGAAATTAACAGAAAAAACAACACAACCATCTGAAACTCACTCAACGCCCATACCAACAACCTATGAGAAACGAATAATTAAAGTTCCAACCCCCAAGCAACTACCGAGAATGCCGGATAATTACCTGCAAATAAACGTGCCACCTAGAACCGACAGCCTGTGCGAAGACCAGCACCGGCAGGGCCCGATCCCAGAGGCCCCGGACAGCAGCAGCAGAAAGTCTACAAGTCCGAGCGGCCAACCGCCACTTGCGCCACCGATGGAGCATCAGCGTGACACCCCCGGCGACGTCCAGCTGATGCAATAGAGGGTGCCAAACAGCGATCATTTCGGACACATATAACATGAAATAATTATAATGAGATATATATAATATTTTTATGTACGATTGCGCGGAACTACTTTCCCCTAATCAGAAGCATGGCCTGTAAAGCTTTGCGAATCAATTACAATATTAATTATATTATTAAGAACTTATGTAAAATTGAGCGGAACCTTTTCTGCCTAATCATAAGTAAAGCCCGTAAAGCTATACGAATTTTCCGTAGCCTACGGACCGTAGGTAGGAAAATATGTATGTATATTTTAACCGGGTTTTAAAATTTAAAAAAATATATACATATGTTAATAAAGCACTATGAATGAAATAAAATGAAATAAACATTCAAAATTAAATATAGCAAAATTTATTAAATGTAAAAATTGGTAAGATGTTTGGATATAGTTTAAATGTTTAAATATTAAATATCGAATCGAATTTCTCTTTTCCTGCACTTTCTTGTACTTTCATTTCTTGTAGTGACTTTTTATACTTGTTGAATTCATTATTTGTTGTTCGATGCTTATTCTTGATAGAGCATCTGCCACATAATTATTTTTTCCGTTACTTATTATACATATACATGTATAAATACATATATAAATATTTTTTCTGCCACATACGTATATATTTTTTATACCCTTGCAGAAGGTATTATAATTTTGTTCAAAAGTGTGCAACGCAGTGAAGGAGACATCTCCGACCCTATAAAGTATATATATTCTTGATTTTCGATTTGAAACTTTGCTCACGCCCTTCTTTCCTTTGCACGCAGTATATAAGTGGGAACGACCGGGATTGGCCGACTATATCCTATAGTTGCCATCTAACTGAACCATCGGAAATGGTATAACTTGTTTTGGTGTTTTTAGAGTTTTAGAGGGTTTTACATGAGAGCCATGTTTGGCAAAATAATGCGAAATGACAAATTTCATAAGGATCGGCCGACTATATCCTATAGCTGCCATATAACTGAACGACCGGAAATGACCAAACTTTAGTATTTTTGAAGATAGAAAGCTAGAACTTAGTACAGATTATATTTGGTCAGTTGATCCAATCTACCAAATATCATAAGGATCGACCGACTATATAACTGAAATATCGAATATGGCATTTGGTAGAAATACCATCTTTGGTATTTTTGAAGATAGAGGTTTGGGATTTTTTTTTAGATTTTTTATTATAATAAATTGCGTTATATTATCATATTCTCATAAGGAGCGGCCAACTAGGTATGTATATCCGATGTTTGCGATATATATCCGGTTTTAACTGCAAGGGTATATCAATATCGGCTCCGCCGAAGTTAGCTTTCCTTCCGAAGTGATCGTAAAATATAAAATAAATATAAAATTTGGTAGGTCGGATTAATTTTCCAAAAATAGCATTCATGCTTAATCCGGTTCAAAATTACACGTTTAGGAATTTTTAAGCGCAAAAAAGTCCCGAAAAACGTTTTTTTTAATAAATCAAGATTTTGATGGTGTTAAAAATGTTTCAAACACGGTTTTGTGCTATATTCGACCTGATCAATAATTCCTACTATGTATGTCACTTTGAAATTCCTTCACCCGATATTTTATGTTCGCCTTGAGCTCACGCCTAATCTTCAGTCTTCGTACGGAATGCTTTCAACGGGATTGGGTGCACACGAGTCGATGAGTTCGGATGAGTCGTGAAAGGTCAAAAGTATATTTGGCTTATATATTTCTTTATATATTTCTAAAAAATATACAATAACATCATATTCTGATTTTAATTTAAAAGACCTTTTAAATTTTTATTGAAGATTTTTTCACTTAAGTATTTTAAAATTGGAGCGAGTCTATTTCTAAAATTGAAACCAGTCCAATAATTAAAATATTTTATACCTAGGGTTTCTTTTATTCCGTTTTATACCAGGTATTCATAGAATAAAAGGGTATATTGTGTTTATCGTAGAGTATGTACATTCATATGTATATTATAGATCAGCATCAATTCAAGTAGATGGTTCTAAGAGACTATAGGAGCTCGAAAAATAAGATGTTGCATGTATGCACGTATGTATAAGTGTCTATAACACCGTTAAAGTTTGACTTCTAGTTTTCAAATTAAGCTTTAAGCCTAGTACTGAATTGACGAAAATCCGCTGTCGAAAATGTGACAGCTGTCAAACTCCATATAAAAAAAACGGTGTAAAAAAAGGAAGAAGAAGACATTTTCGTCTCCTAGATTTTTCGGGTACTGTGTTGACGAAAATTTTAGCTATCGAATTGAATGGCGTTGCCGGATAAAAAAAAATAACCAGCTGATTTTGGGGTGTTGAAATAATTTCATAATTTGATTTATTATGATAGCTAAAACATGGAGCAAAAATTTGAAATAAAAAAATTGTGGGACCGAAATTTTGGGCCCGCGAGGATAAAGTCAAGCTAATTAGTGCGGTCAAGGCGAAGCCCATAATATGGGATTTGACCCACAAGGGGCATTTTAATTCCATAAAATGGCATTGAAATGATTTGTGATTAATTTTGATTTTGATTTTGACCCAGTTTTCTTTTTCTTAATCAGCTCCTTAGCGGCGAAATACATAAACAAAACACCAACATCCAATTGATTTGAATTAATTTTTTTCCTATTGGTTTTTTGTTTACAAACAACAGCTGTTCAGTATTACCCTTTTTCTTAATTTTTTTGGTCACACTACCTCGGTAGCTGAATAAAGTGCGATTTCGCTAGCGGATTTTCGACAGCGGATTTTCGTCATCTCAGTACTAGGCTTTAACAAGAAATCAAAGCTAACTTCGGGCGGAGCCGAAGTTGATATACCCTTGCAGCTAAAACCGGATATATATCGCAAACAGTTGGCCGATCCTTATGATTACATCATAATAAAACCAATTAATTACAATAAAAAATCTCAAGCTTCTATCTTCAAAAATACGAAAGTTGATATTTCTACCAAATACCATTTCCGATCGTTCAGTTATATGGCAGCTATAGGATATAGTCGGC